GAAAATTCTTTAAAGTTTGAAATGCATTGAGCTGTGAAAGCCATATGTGTGGCCACTGATGTTAATGTCTGGTTTAACCATCCTATAAAAAACAAACATATCCTATACAGCTGAACTCTGCCACGAGGTTAGATTGTAACCTGGAATTTTTCATTAGTGCATGATTTCCATTAATAAATCCCAAAACCTCTCTCAGAGTAACAGGTTTTTGTGACTAAACTGTAGGTAAGACCTTATTCTTTCAGATTTTTAGCCCAGTTTTCGTGTCCAAGACAAATAGTTCCAGACCTGAGGCAAATAGATGGTCTTGAAAAGCTGCCATCTATCACCATGTGTGAAAGCTCCAAAGCTGTGATCTGTGAGGGTCATAAAAACAACTTAGGCTCCGACTTATTATCTACTATCCTTTATATTCTGGATGAGTCAGCAGGGGAGGATTTGTGAGAGAGCTGTCAGCGAAGGAGCAGCAGTGAGTGAGGGTGCGAGAGATGGAGTAAGGTGACACGAGGTTAGGGGTAAACCCAGGAGAGGAAGATTAGCAAACATGCAACAGAATGGCATCATCTCCATTCACCTTCATTTAGAAGAATTTGGTTAAATGTTAGTAAGGGTACCCATGCATCCAAGATGTTCCATATGGTCAATATCCCATCAGGCTCAAAAGAGAGGCTGTTTGGTGAAACTGCTACTTCATCATTTACAACGAGGAGAGCGAAGCAGGCTGAAATTAAGCTCACAGTTAAAAATGTGGACAAACAAACTCACGTCTCATTTTTTTAGTAAGACTGGTCCCCTTTCCATTTGTAGGTTTAAGTTGTTTTCATCCTTTTAATGCAACTTTGCATGTGCCCTGCCTGCGTTTGTATGCATGTAAGCATGCTTACACTGAGTCATGAACCAGTCAAGACATTAAAAAAAGCCGGCAACTTTATTGTAATTGACAGTTGACATTAAAAGTTTCTGACAAACTTACACACACACACACACTTAGTTTCAGCCAAATGCCACCATCTATTTCCAGAATTGATCGACGGCCAGATCTATCATTTATCTAATACTATTTGACAGGTACACATACTCATGCACACACACAGGTAATCCAATTTTCAGGCATTTTTACTGTTGGTCAGGCTGGCATTCAAACTCATTAATCTATCATATGGGACTCTGCCAGGAGCACACAGGGCAAGCCCTTGTAAAAAGATTACAATACCAAAGTACACGTACTCACACACAAAGGCACAAGTACACATGGAGATGAACACAAAGTAACACATGCAAAGGAGAGGCACAATAAAAGAAACATACATGCAGAAAAACAATAGGGGAATTGAAGGGGCATATGTTGAGCATCTGCAGGATGAGGAAAAACTGATGAGCTACACTGTTATTACAAAAGGAATGACAAACATGCAAAGTGTGACAAATTCAAACAGCATAAAACACAAAATGTCGCACATCCACTAGCAGGAATCAAGAAGACAACGGTGAGCAGATAGATGGTCGCTAAGCAACAGGAGAAAGACTAAAAATATGGACGTATTTCTTCACTCACTTCCAGAGCATGGACACGCACGAGCAGGGGCACACATGCCGAGCTGCTCTCCAGCAAAGCTTATTAGTCTTTAAAAAGCCTACCATTCTAAATCAGTCTCCGTATGTGTGTGTTCCTGCAGCGTCAGCAGCACTATTATCCTGCCCACGCATTCTGGACCTGCTTACGTATGCTTAAGTCATTCAGAAAAAGACTTCAGCCAGACAGACATATCAGCATCTCAGCAGGCCAGGAGTCACGCCAACCAGACAGTTTTGCCCAAAAAATACCAGTGACAAAGGTTCAGACAAAAAGGATGAGAGGCAACCAAAGTATAAGTGGAGAAATTTCACCTGTGGTTCAAACACCGTGTCTGAAAGCCTTCAGGCCTGCTGCTAGAAATGAGCTCATGTCTATTGCAACAGGAAATAATCATTCTAATATGAAAAATTACACATGTTGCTTATTTTGTGGTGTTCCAGCCATATGTGCAACATGTTTTAATTCAACGTAGCTCTAAATAAACCGCTATGAGGGACTCATGTTGCACAGAAAATGAATCCTGATGATTTTTGTTTGAACTACCCAAAGCTTGATTTCAGCTGTGAATACAGAATGATAAAGTGAAGAAATGAGGGCCATGACGATGTGGGCCTTTTCAAATGATGTCTGACTGTGTAAATTTCCATATAAAATACCCAGTGAACTCTACAGACACAAACAACATTTGCATCCATCAGAAAAGCTTTTCTAAGATCCCTTAAATTGGCACCATTCGATTTCATGACATGCCAAAAAATTATGAAACCCTCGGTTACACTGAAAAGAACATTTATACTTTATGTGGAATGTTTTCAACATGTGCCCAAGCAATGTTGCCTCAGTGTTTTTTTGTTTAGTTCGGCGGAAAAAAGATAACATTACAAAAGGAAAGAGATAAGATCAGGAAAGGAGAGATGGATCACTTGGGATTTTTGGGCTAAAATGTGAGTTTGGTCAGTTACCCTGACATGGCCCTGTTTTCTCAGGCCTGCAAACACCAACAATGTGGAAGCCTCCTAAATCCTTAGGAGCTCCAGGGCTGCTGTAATGAGGAAGTTACTCTGAGCATCTCATCGTGGATAATATCTAGACAGTAATGCTTGATATTTGCACGGAGAAGATGTTGTTTTGAAAGGGAGTCGAAGCAACTTGACAGGTAACTAAACTCTAAAACAGCTGTTTGAGAAACTGTGTTAAATGTTAATTTAAACAGTTTTACTCCTATAAAGCAGTGCCTCAGTAACATTTCATCAAAATATGTCAACATTTTTTTTACCTGTTTTTATCTCAACTCTTTTAGAAAAAGGCAGATTGTAGTTCTCTCTCTACAGAGATTTCTTTGAAGTTTGCATTCAGCAAGATGTGGGGCTGAGTTTCCCTTTGTATGATGTTGTTCACAGGGGAAATGCAATTAACTGACAATACATATGCCAACCTTTCTGTCTGGGCTCCTTTCAGCCTGTGGGCATGAGCTGGGTGTACACACAGCAAAATGCAAATGCAGGCGATGAAACCACCTGACAGGGACTACAAAACTGCTGATTTGATACACGTGTTGTAAAATGATACTTTCCTCATGATGCACATTCACACTGACGGACAAACCATGCCTGAGTTAAAATACTTTTCACAAAAGATAAAGAAACAGCACAGATTTAGCCATCAAATATATCAAGTCATTAGTGTGATCACTTTCGGTTTTACGAACAGCAGCTGCCAGCTCATGGGAGCCACATAAAACTACATATTGCAAATTAATGGTTAGTTATCTATTACTATGGTATTCCATAAAATCTTCAGAGAACAAAGACAGGATTTTCCCACATGATGCCCTAACAGTCACATGAAATTTCAGAGCTGCCATACAATCCCATCCAAATTTGGAGTTAGTCGATTTCTTTAAAATCTCTCATTTGATTCACAGCAAAAAGGGCATCCAGATCTTTCTTGATTACTTTTCCTTACACAGGCAGGGATGTCACATAAATGAAGTATCAATGGTTTCTCACACACGGCCATAACAGTTTGTATAATATCATGTACAAATAGCAACACTGGGTATGGGTGCTGTCAGCATCCCGGTCACAGTCGGCCCGATCTTTCACTCTGGATGCTCCTTCTCCAGCTGTGTTCCTGTTAGGCTATGGCTGCACATGCTTTACTGAATCTTAAAGTGTAAACAGTGCACTTTAAAAGCACACACACAACAACTGAACTGATAGAAAAGTCATCTGTACAACAGGCTTGTTGATTCTACACTACTTTTGTCTCCTTCACACTCTTGCGATGTCTTGCTTTTTCAGGTCGTACCGATTCAGATCACATTGTATTGTATGTATACATTGTATGTTGTTGCTTTTACAATTGCACTGTACACGACACTTACACGTAACACCATTGAAAAGTGTAAAAAAATAAGTGCAGGGTGGGGTTAGCATCTAAGCAGAGGGATGTTAATTTAAAAAAAAGGTTTGGTTCTGCTGACAACAGCAGTTTGTCACTATTTCAAGACTTTTCCAACAGGGCACATAAAAATACAGGGGTAAATTGTACGAGTTAGTGTCCTATGTATGTGTGTGTGCATGTGTGTGTGTGTGTGCGTGCGTGTGCATGTGTGTGTGTGGATTGATAATTCTGCACAGTGTATGCTGGAAAAAAAAATAAGATAAAAAAAGGCCATCTCACCTGCACAATCTTATAAAGGTATGTGTGGTGGTGGTGTGTGTGTGTGTGTTTGTGTGTGTGTGTGTGTATGTACATTTAGGGAAAGAGGCATTAAAAGTCATAAGTCACAGACAGTTTTAGATAGAGTTCAAAGGTTATGATAGGAGGAACCACTGTTCCTATGACAACCAAGACACGGAAGGTGTGAGGAGGGGGTGTACACTTCTGACTTCCATTCTCATTTCTTTCTTGGACTACAGCCAAACTATACACCTTTTCTTCTCTCTGACTTTGCTGCTAGCTTTACGTTCTTTCACCTTTATTCGTCTTCTTAGCTTTCATTCTTCCATCAAAAACTGGCTCATTTTTTTTCTCTGCTCTTAACTAGCAGTTTTCTGGAGCAATTTCAGCCTTTTATTCATCATGATGAAATCAGTCCTGTTAAAATACTGTTGATGGTTTGTAAAATGCATATGCTCTGGTATTTCTAGTTTTTTTTGTCTCCCAAACAATTGTTCCAGTTACTGGAGAAAGGAGGGTCTTTGTGGCTAACAGCTGAAATTGCAGAGAGAAATAATAATTTTGGACATCATTAGGGATTTATATAGTCCCATGAGAATACAGGATAGAAACTTGGAGGATAAGAGTATTCTAGACAAAGTTTCAGAAATGATAAATATCAATTCAGATCTTCTCTCTTTCTAACCTGCCCCCATCCTCTTTCAATTTGGCAGTGGGTCTCTCTTCCTCTGCTGCCCATTTAAAACCCTGGTATATGGCAGTAGGCCTCCATAGAAGCTAGAAGGATGTAAATCAGCCACATGGAGATGAACAACAGGGATGTTATCAACTTGCAAGTCCGTGGTCCTCCCAGTTCGCCGCCAGCCACGGTTGCCCTTCTCCGGTACAGCAGTACGAGCACGCACAAACAAGCCAGGATGGTGAAGAGGGTGACGGAGAAGGCCAGGTTTCCGGGGTTCACTTTGAAAGGCTTTCCCTTGGAGCGCCAGGCTATGGCGGCAATGGTCCACGCCACCCCGATGCCCAGGAAGACGTTGACAGCGTTGGAGCCGGTGACGTTTCCAATGGAGGCGTCTGCGTACTGGTCCTGGATGGCTGCAACCTTGCTGGCAAACGTGTCTGATCAGAGAAAAAGATTTGACGGCTAAATTAAAATAGATAAAAACGTGCTTTTTTTTAAAACAGTACAAAGGCAACCAAATAAAATGATTATGAAAAAATGGGGAGAAAAAAAACTGTAGTATAACACACATGTATGCAAAGAACAAAAAGAGAATACTCAAAAAAAGATCAAATCAACACACTTTCAAGAGAAAACAATTACTGATGACTAGCTTTTTATTTTCCTAAATAAATTAATCAACAAGATAGCCCTTTTTCAACATTCTGTTCCTTCAATGTTTCTAATCTCATAAAAACACATTCCTAATCAAAGTGGGTTTTGTTTTTCTGTAAGCAAAAATCATAAATCATGTTTTACTGTCATTACTGACAAAAGAAGAAAAACCTTAGTCTTACTGTATTCTATAGTCTTTTCTTGGCATCCGTATGTGCCTAATCGATGTAATAGTGTCATTTACAAGAAAGCTTTCTGGTGCAGAATACTGGAGCAGAAATGGGATCAGAAGCTGTGAGAATCCACAACCTAACTGGCAGGAGACACCAGGGAAACAGCTGCCAGTTACTGTACGCTCATGTCGGCTTATGTCTATTCTTAGTCAGGGTGCTGAGATCCAATTTCCCTGGGAATATCAGTGTGATTTAGCAAAATTCACATCCTTATACTCTGTATATTTTAATGGGGCAAATTATTTTGAAGTTTTACATGAAAAGTGTGTTTTTTATAACAGGCAGGTAACACTGTGTATTTGATTTTGAGCCATGAAACACTGGTTAAAGGGCTCTGTGATCAATAGGACTTCACAGCACACACAGGTCAGGATGATGGATAAATCAATAAAACATCTCATAAAAGTGTGTGTGTGTGTGGAGATGGACATTAAAAAAAACATAGAGAAAACAGAAAAAAATTGAAGATACAGATCAGATATAATGAAAGGCTAAATAAATAGCAAAACAGCATCTCATGTGAGAATATCTTTGTTGAATGTAAATATCAAAACGTGTCCAACTTCCAGTCTCAAGCATCAAAACAGAGCAAGACTGTTGAAGGAGTTGTTTCAAATATTACTTTCCAGAGACCTCCCTGACAGTCGTCCCAGTCATCACCTCGCAGAATAAGATGGCAGCTATTTCTATAAATCATTTGGAGGAACAACAATAAACTTGCTATCGAGGGGAATGAGGTTGGGATTCGAATTAAAGCCAGGGGACAACGTGCCCCCTCCAGGCAGGCAGGTTGGAATGGAGCCTGTTTTTTACAACCTAAATTTGATTTCCAGCCTGTATGTGGGGCTGCTACTAAAATAAGACAAAATGAAAATGGTGGCAACGCCATGTAACGAACCACAGATATAAAGTAAACCGATTAGTTTACCCAATCCCACTGGCTGTGCTGAACTACGACAGGAGACTGAGCACTGGCATCAAAGCTTTTTGCTGACACTGACAGCGATGGCCTCACCTGGCACAGATGTCCCCAACGCCACAAACACCACGGCCGTCACAGAGTCCTTCAGTCCTATTGTGCAGCCAAAGTGTGACGCCAGATCACCGGTGACAGCAGTGAGCACGCCGATCAGTGATATGGAGACAATGAAGCAGGCCCAGCCGTTCCAGTACTCTGTCGGTGGGACAAAGGCGAACAGGACCTTCCAGAAAACAGTGAGGAAATGCATGATGTAGTCAAAGCAGGAGGGGAGCCGCTCTTCACCACTCTCCTCCTCATCGTCGTCCCCTACAAGTGAGGCAGAAGATTAAAAATGAGGACATGGGGGACAAAATGGAGGAAACTTTGGTGAAATAAAGAACAAGATGTGAACGTTTACTGCCTTGAGTCTGATAAGATGCAGCTATCTTATGTAATTAATAGCTTATTATACAGTTATACAGACTAGAAAAAGAGGAAACAGCTGGCTTTACTCTGCCTAAAGGAAATAAAAATCATTTTAAATGGACTTTAAAAAAACTAAAGTTTACGGAGATGTTAACCAAAATGTAAAAACTTTTTAGAACTCCAAATGATTCCACATGTTTTGTGAGTGTGTGTTACCTGCACTAACAGTAACAGCATTGACAAACTGCTCCCTCCAGCTGCTGCTTCCCACCACCAAGGCCAGGTTTGTCTTCTTGATCAACTTATCAACTGTATTCTAAACATACACATACATACGCACACACACACATGCACGCACACACACACACACACACACACACACACAAACACACACACCCAAGGAAGCATGCAAAAGCAGACAGACCAGGCAGAGCAGAAAAAAACACAACTTGAATCCGCTGATCAAACCGAGCCACAGAAAGAGAAATATACCAAGTTCAAGTCTTTTGATTAGACCCGTAGTACAGATGTATACAGAGACACTGGGAATTTGGGATGTGCTGTTTGACATAAGGCTGTGAAATTGGCAGCAGCGCTATGTTGGGATGATGAATTGTGGAAAACCTTCAGGCAGACTGATAGAGTTTTCTGTCTAAAGCAGCCAAGAAGAGGAACGATGAAATATGTAAAACAGGGCAGACCAGCCATGTAGCAGTCATTCTATCTCAGCTAACAGAAATGTATGAAAATCCAACGGAATTTACTGTCTGCTGTACTAAATGCAATATCAAAAAGGGAAAAGTCTCAATCAAAGCATTCATGTAATTAGAGGGTTTACACACTGGACCCAGACACCTCTAGAGGATTTCAGTATTGTACAGAAACAGAGTGAAAAACATGCATTGCATGCACAAGAAGAATAACCTTTTCAGCCCGTCTAAGAAGAGAAGTGACTGCCCTCTACACACACATATATACACACACACACAAACACACACACAAACAGCATGACAAAAATAGATAAATGAGAATAAAATGCGTAGGCAATGAGACACATATGATCTGCTACATTCAAAATAATGTAAAAATCTGATATGAGATTAAAGTATAGGCAACACAACACAATGAAAACGCAAAGCATGACGGCTAAAAACACGAGCACTGTTGTTTTTTTGCCACTCAGAGGAAATGTCAAGTCATTTTTAATGATCCTTTTCTATTGATACAGTCATTTATCCTGATTACAGGCTAGTTTTCTAATTGGCTTGATTAACAATCTTCAAGCTACAGCAGTTTGTGGTCTTTAAAAGTTTATATCAGTGCAGTACTCTACATTATTAATCAACTGCTGACAAAAATGAATAACTGACCTTCTGAAAAGAGGCAGCTTGAATTAAAATCTCACTTGCATGGAAACACACGCTCATATTTGTTTACCTTGAACTCGTAGGACTCCTCTATGATCACCTCCACCTGTGTGTGTTCACCCAGACTCGGACAGCCCATCTTTGCCACCTCTTCCTCCTCTGCTCCCACCAATGGCTTGTTCTCATTGGAATCACCTGAGTGACCATGGAGACAAACAGGTGCACAGTAAGCCTTCAGAGGAATGTAATAGCAGGACATTCTCTGGAAAACTAGAGGACTTTTCAGTTGAATGCAATGCATCCACTGTTGTAATATTTTGCAAAAAAGAGAGAGAAGTAACCACAAAAGGCTTTATCTAAAATGACACATACATTTGACTATCTAAATACACATAATCATGTCAGCAAAACATTTTAGATTGAGCATTAAGCTCAAAATGTAAAAAATGTCTTAGCTTCAACATTGACATGACACGTGTGTGTAATAATTTGCATTTCTATGAAGATTAATTAAAAAAGATCATTTAATATCTTTCCTGTGAAAAATAAATCAAGCTGTGCAAACAACTGGGCAGCAGGATAATGGACAAAATCATCAACCTACCTAACTTAACATACTTAAGTCAAATCTTGCATCTTTCACTTTCTTCTATAACCAGTGTATTATTACTGACATCTCATTTCAGAAAAAGAATAAAATAAAATGTAGATGCTAATAATAGTAACAGTCACATGCCATCGTGGGGAATCTGAACTGTTAAGAGTTTGTTGTTATAACAAAAGTGTATATGTATTGAATTTACATGTTTTTTTACATTTATGTGCTCCTATTACTAAGTAAAGTGTGTTTCCTTGCTCACTCTTCACAGTGGTTATTTGAACTGTTATCAGTGTTGAGCTGCTGTAATTGAAAAGTGCAGTGTGTATAACAGTTTGTGTGTGACTGAGTGTGTCTAAATGTCAGTCTGCTCGCTCTTTGACAGTGTCATGAAACCAATTATATTTCTCCGTAATGAAACATGCCGCAGGCTGCTGCCTCTTCATGTCTAACATCTTGATTGTGGACCTGAATGGCACCAGAAGAATCAAAGTGTATGTGGTGAGAGCGAGATAAAAGACACTCGGGTTCCAATGCCAACTATGAAAATGGGAAATTTTAGAATGCCCTCCATGAGACCTCGGTTGGTATGTAATGAGAGATCATCTCCCTGTCAGATCTGCATAGGTTACCACTGACCAATTGATGATGTTTGAACCTCAGGGCTAAAGTCTATAGTCAAGAGCCTAATGGGAGGCTTTGGGAAACATAGGAAATGAAAAAGCTTATCTGAAATTTCAGAGAACTTGTCATCCTCCCTCCAAATAATTGACCAAAGAAATAATGCAGAACAGAATGAAAGTCTTCATTTCACTTAAAATATGAACATCTTTAACTTCTGCTGGCATTAACCAAAAAACAAAAGAAAGAAATAAACAAAAAACATACAGTATACATACAGTAAAAAAAAGAACAAAAAACCCAATTCAGACACACAATCTGTGTATTCTGTTCAGCAGTCTGCCACACATCAGTGCACATTTAGAGCTCACTCAGCTCGTGAAAGCATAGAGAGGACAGTGTTTCCATTGAGAGAAGGCCCACATAATTTGGAATTTAGGGGTTGCTGGACATAAACTGTAATGTTATTCAGCTCTGCTCATGTCTAATAGGGTGGGGAATTTCGGGTCACTTCTGTTTGTGAAGAAAGTGAAAGGACAAAAATATTGTTGGATTTCTGAGTGGCGTGATATCTAACCTAAAAATGAATAAATGCAAGGCAGGAATAAACAGCGGATTTGTGAGCCTAATTCTACACTGCAATGACAGAAACAACCACTCTGGAGCTATTGAAATGCTATCCAGACAACACCTCTTTAATCTTTGAGATTATGAAAATATTATTCCTGCCCTTCCTGTGGCATACATGGCAGTATTAAAAAAAACTCCTCACAGCTCAGGAACTTTAATCCTGTTCAGGTCACCTTCTCTATGCTTCAAGTTAATGTTTCCTCAGTTAATCTGAGTTTAGATTGAGGCCTCAGTGAATCAATGCAGGTCTAATACATCTGAGCAGTGTTGAACAAATTCGGTCCTCGAGGGCTTTGGTGGTTTCACTGCAGTGGAAACAGGGAAGCTTCTAAAACCTCCAGAACAGTGGGTCTCGAGGGCCCTTATCTAATGCATCTGAAGCTTGAACAAAAGTACTTAATCATTCGCAGTTTTATCAAATTTCCTTTAACAGCTGCTGAAAAACAAACAGACAAAAAAAGATAGGACCCACCATGTTTTTGTCCTATTTCCAACAGAACAGGCTCTCCCAGCTCGATGGTGAAAGTCTTGTTCTTCTCGTACTCTTCATCATCAATAATTTTCACCTCGATTATCTTCCTGTTCAAAAGAGGGGACAGAGATGACCAAATAAGTATGTTTTTTTTTTGTATGTTCTCCCTGATAATGATCATTCCTGTAATAGAATATTACATGTAAGCCTGCCAAAAAAAAGTTTTTCAGAAGTAGGAACACAGGTGACAGTTTTAATAGGGTTAAAAAATATCTTCATTGTTAACGATAGATAAATGAGGATGGCGCGGCAGCTTCAAAATCTTTGCTTTGTTCATTGCTGCTGTATGTTGTTGTTAAAAATAGCTGTGTTCATTAGATGATTCACACTAGTGGGCTGCATCACAAGTGGGATAGGGTCTGACAGGAAGAGAACAGTCCAGTACTAGGCTCTACATTAAACTGTTCTTCATTTCTTTCAACATGGCTTACATTAGAGTAAATGAAAAAGGCTTAGTTTGAGGTGTTGCTTTGGAAATGGGTTACATCTCACTGTATGCTAAACATTATAGTATACTGCAAGGTGAAAAAGAAACAGTTTATTGTGCAAAGTGTATAGGGAAAAATAAACCAAATCCCTTTTGATAAGCTTCAACCAGCTGAAAATTCTATTTTTTAAAGACAATCATGCAACTGTAAACAGATGAAAAATATTTCACAACTATGTCGAGGGTCAGTTAATATTCATGATTTGTTTGTTTGAAACATGTTTTGGTGTCATTATCTCAATCTGCCAAGCAGAGAGAAGAGAATGTTGACTTGCACCTGGTTGTTTCATACTTCACTGTCAACCATACTGACTCTGATGCTGCATACAGGCTTCAGAGGAAATGGGCCAGGAATGAGAGATATCTGGAAGGACGGGGAAAAGAATGTGACGAGGTGACAACGGGGTAGAAAACTGGAAGCACATTCTTTTCATTGGTGAGCTGTCACAGCAGCACTGGATAAAATTGGCTGGATTTGCAATTTTATCACATCAGCCTCAAAAGCCACATTTCAACAGTGCTGGAAATTAAATAAATATACTGTATTTGGTTTTGTCAAAAGTGACAAAATGGAAAAAGAACCTGCAGGTACATGCAGATAGAGGTAGAGACAGAATTAATTTACTCTATACTGTTTTTGTGGTGGGATTTTTAATAAATCAGCACCTTGCCCTTTGTAAAAAGGAACTAAATATTCACTCAGAAAGTGGGTTCAGAAGGTGGAGAGATGTGACTAACCACAGAATTACTTTTCAACTTTGTGTTTTGAATACCGTACAAAGGTTCAAAATGACACTGGAGATGTCACCAACATAAAGCACTGAAGTTGAAGTAAGAAGATTAGGTTAAATGCCAGTTTATCTAGATCAGCATATGCTGCAAAAATTAGCATGTATGGCTACCGGCTGAATCCAGATGTTTCGTTGAGCTTAGCTTTCAAGGCTAAAGAGCTATGTCGAGTTAAAGGTTAGAGTTAAACATGTTCACTATGAGGACATTCACTGCTGCTCTTTACTGGATATGTATTCAGGATATCAGACTCGTAAATTGGCCTACCTGATATTTTTTCCCAGTTAGAAAAAAATAAGACATGTGTCAAAATGTGCTTATATCGGCAAAAGTCCTTGACATATGCATCTAAAATTTGAACAACTTGGTAGCATTACCCAGGGT